AATTTATCAATCGTTTAGTTAAATTATGTGTTTGATAATAACACTAAAATTAATACAAGTTTTTATATTATTCTATATATTTTTATGGAGAAAATGTATTATTACCATGTATTTTAAGGTTACAAATTAAAAATTTTTTAAATTTTACTATCAAATTTAGGGAGAAATTTGGTTTACCCCTACGACTTGTTTGGATGGCCTCAATCCTGGAAGAACAATACCGAGTGGTTGTAAGTAGACAAAGATATGGCGTGGTGCAGAAAATATAAAATCCTAGCATGAATTTCAATGCAAGAATATATCGGTTACGTCTTCAAGAGATAATAAAGGTTCAAGAAGCAATACAAGTCCATTCTATTCAAATATAACCGGTTATTGATATGGAAAACTCTAAGGCTTACCTTTTTTTTATTTTTTTTATAGGGGAATTGGGGGAAGGAGAGAGGGAATGAAAAACAAGGGAGTTTGAAACTCAATGTTATGAGTGAAACACTCATATAATAATCACACAAGTCGCACACTAAAATTTTAATACTTAATTGTCAAAAAAAATATAAAGAATATTTTGACAAAAAAATTAAAAAGAATATTTTGAGAAGCTCTCAATTGTTGAGTGATGATTTGCATTTGAAATAAGTTTTTCTAAATTAAAGAGGCACATAAGCACTTATATTATATATCTTAAATAGTATTTTTGAATAAGTATCTCAAAAAATTTGCTTCAAGATATATAAATACTTACAACAAAAAATGTAATTCATCATACCAGATTTGGGGATACACCACAAGCAACAGCTGAACCACTAATAGTACTCTAATATAAGAGTCCACCCAATCAGCCGCGCAACACTGTACATGAGACTGTTTATATTTGTGGCTCAAGAATCATATGTGTTGAAAGTAGGACAATTACTAATTAAGCATGTTACTGAACCTAAGTCTGAATGATCAAATCTCAATATCACAAAAAATTAACCTTCCCCAACACGGATGTACGAATAGTGATGATATGCACTTCCAGCGGATGGGCAATGACTTGAAAGCTCAGCATAGCAAAAGGCAGAGAGAGCAGAAGCAATTCCAGCTATTAGGAAAGAAAAGGTCAGAGATGGTCCAGAAAGCTCTCTGGCAACAGTTCCAAAAGAATGTAAACACCAGCTCCAATTGTTGAGCCAACACCTATTCCGAACATACAATAATTCAAAAATAAGGTTTGCATATTGAAATGTAAAGAGAAACTAAATAAATTAGTCTCAAAAGTTAAAACTAATAAGAAGTGACCATCTTAGTTAGCAAACCATTGTCTTCAACTTGAGAGAGAGTAGAGACCATATAGAGCAAAAATTCATAAAAGTTGTTCAACTCATGAATAGACATAATTCACACTTCCTTTAAAATTATTGGCACCCACAAGGGATATCAAGGAAACAAAAGCAGGAAATGAATAGAATTACCAGAAGTGAAATCAAACTCAAAATTATTTCAAAAAAAAAAAACTAAAGATTATCCATTCACCTAAGAGACCCATGACAGGGAAAGTGAAAGAAGGCGACTTTGAAAACATGAAGAGTATTTACCAAAATAAAAACATAAGGGTCCTGATAATCCACATCTATCAACCAACAAACACCAAATTCAAGCCAAAACAGCTACAAATGCAAGGCCCATATCAAACTTTGCAAATAATTTTTCACAAAAGAAGAAAAATACCAATTGCAATAAGGTAAGGAACTGTGAGCTCCTTAGCCAACTGATGCTGATCGGCATGCTTGGAATTAGCAGAATCCACCTGCTTCCTCCTCACCAAACCCCTCAAACAACCCAATGAACCACCGTAGCCACCGTCGTTTTGCGAATCAACCAGAAAACCCATCAAGAATCCAACGATTTATTCCCTTTTCTCCAATAAATAACGAATCAACAGCTGAATTATGAATTTATGATAGCGTATATGATAATTTACACTACGACTATGTACAGAAAATCAAAAAAGAAAGTAGATAAATGTCGCCTGCATTCCCCTTTGACAAAAATTCAAACTTTTTCCGCTAGGAAAGCTGTTATTGACGTATGACTTTGCAGGGGAAGCGGGCAGATTTAAGAGAAATTCTCTCCTGTCTGGGAACGGCAGTGTGCTTGGAATGACAGATATGGAATGGAAAATGCGGCGTCTTTGACACCATTAACCCCTCAGTCTTTTTTTCTTTGAGACCATTAGTCCATCAACTTACCATTTGTGTACTTTTTGCCCAAGGGTATCCCTCATTCTGAAGATTTGGTTTCATTGCTTGAGGTAATGTCTAATAATGCTAATTCTGTTGTATCTCAAGCTGTGAATATTTTTAAGAAGATAGGGGCACTGCAAAGCAATGGTTGTAAGATAAGAGGGCAATCATAAGGGAATTTTCAATTTGGCGAACTCAATAATGTTGCAATGAAGGGTGGTGGCTACCCCTCAGCCACACAAGAGCTATGAAGCTACAAAAAATGGCAAGTTAAGACCTGGGATCTGCTTTGATTCCTACCTCCTTGACTAGATATCAATTATCTTGTTAAACCTATTTTTTCTCCCTTTATCAAAAGGAATTCATGTAATTCAATTTGAATTGTATATTGAAAGTGTAATTTACTTTATAAATTTATTAAAATATCCTTTAATAAAATAACAAAATAACATGAGAAATAGTTTTATTAAAGGTATTTTAGTAAATTTATAAAATATACTACATTTTTAATATACAATCTGCCTAATAAAATACATTTTTGTTATATTAAATTGTCAAAAATACCAAAAATAGTCATTGACATGCTTATCTTGAAAGAGGTATACTCTCACATATCTTGCCTGTAGGAGGTTAATTTGCTTGTTTAAAGGATAAGGGTCTTTGTTAGGGTAAGTGGTTTATCAGCTGCCATTATGATTAGTAGCATGTTTCAGCTTGTTGGCAGAAACTTCCAAGCCATGTGAACATGTGGACTCTCTATGTGGTAAATTTCTCATCCTATAATTAAAAGGCTGCGCCTATAGCAACAGCATGGTTATTTCAACCATTACAAGTTTATTCATTTAGTGAGGTGAAGAAAACTTGCACTTACCCTATAAATACCCATGCATGCAAAGGCAAGATGCAAGAAGCAAAGCGACACCAAAGGTGAGCAAAGTGAGTTTCAAAGAGAGAGCTCGGGTGGAAAAAAAAGGTAGGAGCTAGGCATTAAGTTTAGGTGTAAGTGTGCTTTTGTTGAGTGAGTATATTGAGTGATAAAATTATAAGTTTATTAGCATTGTGAATATATCTTGGGGGAGTGAGAAACGTCGAGAGAGAAAAATACTTGAATATATATTTTGTACAATTTTATAACATAATGAAATATCCTTTGGAGTTTGTCCCATGTTTTTTTTTTTTTTTTCTCAATAGTTTTTTTAAGGCTTTTTTCATGTAAAATTTGATATTATCTTATAATTTATTTTTTCTTTTTAATGGTTAGTTAAACCACCTATTTTATTTTGCTTATTTTATTATCCTCTTAAATGACTAGTTAAATCACCTATTTTATTTTGTTTGGCTAATTAAGTCACCTTTATTACTAACCGTTAATACTGTCTGGTAAAACCACTTGTTTCACCGATCTTTGTTATTGTTCACATGTTTTGTTTGTAAGAACTATTTTATTATGCTATGCAATTTTTCCCAACACTGCCTTGTTCTATAGAGATGCAAATTCAGGTAGGTTGAAGACCTTTATCCTTTTCAACCGTAATCTCCTACGTTTCTCTCGGGCGATCTCATGGAACATTTTGGAGAATAAAGTAGAGTATAAGCAGTTAAAAAGCCTCTCCATATCAGGATGTGCATTGTATCTTTCTTCCTCAAGTTGGTGATGAGCTTTGATCGTCTCCTTTATCAGTGTCTTTCTTTTATTGTCTATCCGTGTTTGTTGCTTTTTATCCTTCTTCATTTTCCTTTTGTTTTTGAGGTTCTATAAACAAACTGGATAGTTCGTTAATATATAGTCTCTATTTCTATTGGTCCAGAAACAATTGCACCCTCAAAAGATTAATAGAATTCATAAAAGTATAACTTTAAATAGAAAGACAATAAGAGTTTATTTGGTACGAGGAAATAAAGTGACATAAAAGGATAATTCTCCCTCATTTCCTTTATCTTTAGACAATTAGCCAAATCTTATATTTGCACCCTGCACAATAGACAGAACAATTTGTAGATATGCTTAAGACTTATTGGACCAAAGATCTAAATCCTATACTATAAAAATAAACCAAACCAACAGCAAAACTCAGTTGTTTTTTCTATTGTCACTTAATTTTAGTAACTCATGAATTTAATGCCCTTAATCGTTATTGATTGAGTTATATAAATGTCATATCTCAAGGTTTAAAGAATCAGCAACACAATGAAGGGTAATCCTTATAACCTTGCTGTCTTGACACGACTTGCAATAATATTTTCTTTCCTTCTCTTTGCTTTCACCACCGAATGCTCTGAGACATGTAGCAAAACTTGCGTGGCTCGCGAATGTGATTCCGTCGGAATTCGGTACGGGAAATATTGTGGAATAGGTTACACAGGATGTCCCGGAGAAGTTCCGTGCGACGACGTTGATGCCTGCTGTAAATTACACGATGAATGTGTCCGCACTGGTGGCATGACCAATGCAAAATGCAGTAGGAAACTCAGGAACTGCTTAGCAAGAGCACTGAAATCTGGAAAGGTTGGATTTTCTAAGGATTGCCCTTATAGTATAGTTGTGCCTTTAATGTCAAAGGCATGGATGCCGCCATCATACTCAACTCAGTTGAGAGTGTTTTAAAAAATGTCTTTGGTCCTTGATCATCTGTTTTATTTAAAAGTTGGTATAGAGTCTTTTTTTTTTTTTTTTGAACCAAACAATAAGTTCGACTATATAAAAAAATGGAGATACACTTACTATGTTATTTAAGATTGTGAATGTTATTGGGAATGTTTTTCCCAAGATTATTGTATCTAATTAAATATCTAATACTATGCTATTATTTATAAAGAAAAAAAATAACAACAAAGTTGTTACAAAATAATTTTATTTCAAATTAAAAAGAGTTCAAGTTTCTTAAGTACTTAAAAAAGAAAAATAGGAAGTGAAAATATCCAAAATCAAATTCATAGTAGATGTTCTCATTTAAATTTATATATATAGAGAGAGAAAAAACTGTTTCACAGGATGGATTATATGCAATTCACCTTGTAAAATTACTTAAATATCTTTAAATTTGTTTTTATATTATTTTTTCAGAGACATTTAATTAATTTTATAAGACGGACTGTCCACCCACCTGTAAAACAATTTTTTGATATATATATATTTTTTTTTTCTGGCCGAAGAAAAAACTATATTATTTATTTAGCCGGAATTCTCAACAGATAGAGAAGCAGAACTAACATTGGGCCAACCTGTTACTTTAATCAGTTGCATCTCCCTCTTCCATCCTTTCCACTTCCCATTCCCACCTGATATTGGTGCTCAAAACTTTTTTTTTTTTTTCCTCTTGAGAAAAGGCAATTGCTTGCACGCAAGACTAATTGAGATTACTTCAACTGCATAAAGGAAATGGACGTTACAAATGTGCCTCCAGAGGATTTAGAAAGCTACTGCATTACATTCTGATTGCTAATCAAAAGGTGATCAACAACTAAAATACATCATAAAACACAACAGAACGGGCAAAAATCACAGAGGTGAAGGCTTTAGTTCCTTTGATGTGATCCTTTCTCGTTTTCCACTTGTTTTATGTTTTTTTGTTCATTTGATGTCATTTGACAAACAGATTGGAGTTGTTTACTACATTAGTCTTCTTGCCTGGGACTTTCATCTCCTGCAACAGGACCACCCACTTGAACCCACAATCTTCTATTTCCGTCCTCTCCATCTTCCCAAGTTTGTTGCCTTATACTCCTGTCAATTGTATCAGCACCTTCAGAATACTGTCCCCAGACAGTTCGGCTCTTCCCTCCCCCACTGAATTCTTCCTCACATCCTGCCACTGTCTTTAGGAGCTCTGACTGCAGCGCTGGGCAGTTTTCTTTGAGATACTCAAAACCATCTGCCTGCATAACAGCTGCATTATATGAAGCAGTTAACAATTTGAGTACACATCTTTGAACACCTCGGAAAAATAGATTATATGCAGTACTAATGAAAAATCTTAGAGTCAACTTGTAGTTCCCAGTTTTCACTAACTTCAAGATCTCCTGAAGAACAAAAAACTTTATAAACAGAATGTGCTAAGTTGAACTTCAACAACTTTGGGCTTGACAAACTAAAGTCTATCAACTTCAGCAGTAAAGGCAGATCAATATAAAATTCAGCACAAGCAGAGCCAGAACTATCAAATATCTAGATGCAGCGCACTATATGAAAGCTTTTTGACAACTCCCAGCACAAAACCCAAATAAAAATTGGAGAAGGGATCAGTCTTCGAATCACAGCACAGAATGAGAATGGCTATAAAGATCTTTAGTTGCTTTTGCAAGTAGCATTTTGTTTAGAATGAAACGAAGTTATGCTTTATCATCTCAATTCCCCACCTTAAAATTATAAGTCAAAGAGAAATCATAAGGCCAAGATGGGGGAACAACACAAGGAATAAGCTTATGTCCTTATCATTACTCGTGTATGTGTTACACAAATTCTCAGGTACTCTTTTCAAAATTTCAGCATTTAACACAACAATTTAATTTCCAAAACAGACCCTTAAATTAATCCCTTCCTGGGCAATCTTAAGGTACCACCCCACATCAGTCTGGTGCATTAAGGTGCTGGCCTCATTACTTGAACCCTAAACTTGACCTATAAGACAACATTTAACTGACGACACTTCAATGGGTCCAACCTTTGGGGTTTATTTTATGCGTATAGTGGTGCTCCGTTGGTAAGGGCACGAAAGCTTCTTCTATTTTCTCTAACCTCATCCATATAATATACAGGAGTAGTTACACTATCTAAGTCTTCTATAGACCAAAACAGGATGTATTGCTCTCTTATTGGACAACTGACCCTGTGGGGAGGCAATATAGAAAAACCCCAAAATTTTTTGTAAAAGACCTATCCAACACCTTCGGGTCACATGAGTCTGAAATACAAAATGCTAAGCACTAGGACTCTCAAAACATGTTTCAGATCTAATATAAAAGTGAGATTCTGACAAGGGAAGGAGGAAGGGGAATATGTGAATTGCAATTGGCAAGTAATGACACAGGATAAGATTGTGATTTATGCAGCAAAAAGTTTAAACTGTCCCAATGTTTCTTCATAAACAATAAGCATAAAACCTTAAAAGACAAAATAAACCTTAACTTACCCACAAGATTTTCAGCAGCAAATTTTAAGCAAACAGATTTTAGTTCCATAGCATGATAACGGTCTGCCAGGGCCAAAATATTCGCAACAGAATTCACAGATATGTCCTTGCAAAGTACAGATTCGCACATCAATCTAAGTCTAGGCAAGTCATATTTGTCTGCTGCTGCTAACAACTTTGAAGGTAGTGTGTCAGATACAGATGAAGCACAAGAACTGGTCCCTAAGAACCCTTCATCTTCAATAAGAGTATCTTTGTATATGAAATGCAGCAAAGCCTGCCCAATGAGCATGCTAGAGATTAGAAATTAAAAACAAAAAGGTCGAAACTATGTTCTGGCATCATAATAAGGCAGATGGGTTGAAGGAAAGCAGCATTAGGGATGTCAATTACATGGACAATGAGACGGGGAGGACAGGGAATCAATTCATATTCCCATATCTTTGCCAGCATGGAATTTAATCCCCACAGGACCACCTGCCACTTTTTTCCTAACTTTTTATTTATTATTTGAAAGAATTAATCACCCTTGTTCTAACTCAAAAGGACAACAGTCTCATGAATTTGGGTTCTTTCTTTATTAAAATTTCTGTTTGGGTTTAATGAACTGTCTGAAACTTCAAGACCAGGTCATTTATCGTAATATCAGAAGTAATGTAACAGAAAAATTGCAACATTCTAGGTAAAAAATTTTTCGAGTCTGGGTATGCAGCCCTGCAGGACAAGATGCACTTCTACGATCCTGCCCTGCAAAAGTTGGTGCAGCTGAGTCTTCTCCCTGTACCCACCATGCAAGGAGAAATATTCTCCCTCATCCCCATCTCATTCTGGAAACCCCCACAGGAATTGAGGGGTGTGCAGAAATTTGACATCCCTAAGCAGAATTACAACCAAATCAAAGGAGATAAATGATGAAAGCAGTACCTTAAAAACCTTAGGCTCCATATCCATGATAACTATTTCAGTACTGTCTTCCTCCATCCTGTTAGAAACTTCAGTTTCAAATATAGTAGACCTAGCAGCTAATACCAGTTTGTGAGCAGGAAACTTTTCCCCAGACACATTGAAAGTAACATCTGAACCTTCTTCATTCTCCAACAGCATGCCAAAATGAATTCCAATATCAGATTCAGGGACCTGTATGGGTTGCCACCTTGGGCAATCTATTTCCGAAACCACAACACCAACAGTGCAATTAATTTTCAAGCAATCATCCTTGAGGAAATCTGATGTTTCAAGCATAGCCCGCCTGAAAAAACGCTTATACCCCCTGATAGGGAAAAAACCAAAAAGAGAAACAACTTTCAAACCATGATACTGACTTAAGCAGACAAGTTGATGCAAATAAATCCCTCCTAAAATTTCCAGTAACAAGTAAACAAAAAGCAGAAACAAAACATGACCGAAAGAGGACACTGGAGTTTCAAGAAACGTCAGTCAAAAAGTTCAGGAACATCATAGTCTTACTTGTACTAGCAGATACACACCGAACTGTCAAGTCTCGAAGTAATCCAGTCTTAAATTTCATTCATATATGGAAAATGCAATAAGTTTATCTCCTATCTTCCATAGAAAGACACTAAAATCTAACAATCAGTCACAAATAGAAAACAGAAGACACGTAGGCTTAAAAAGTCCTTTGAATAAAAACTTCCTATGGAGAGCAAATTAATGATTGGGCATGGCTAGTTACATGCAACAAAAAGCCATATCCACATAAGTTTCCAAAAATATAAATGAGACCCACTGTAAAGAATACAAAACCTCCATGGATCTAGCAAATTTGTTACTGAAATGGCAGTTCCCTTAATAATAATGTGTGAGATCATGGGTAAACATGAAATACTTCTTGCCATATGCCACTAACAAAGACAACAAGGAGCACATTATGGCAAACCATGTGAACTAAAAATTCCCCACAATCTTGTAATCATATAAGGGTAGAAACAAAAAGAAGGCAGTTTGCTAGAATAAGTAAACTCAATTCACATTCCCTACCCTTCTTCTCTCCAGCCCTACTGACTTTCATCTCCCCTTCCAAAAAAGAAAAAAGCAGAAGAAGAAACAACCCATAAAAAAAAGGGAGGCAAAAGTAAAGAAGAAAGGCAGGAAAGCAATAAACTAAAGAGCATGTTTGGTGAAGCTTGTAAGAGCTTTTACCTTTTTTGTACGGTTTATGAGTGATAAGTTTAAATTTTTATTGGAGGGAAAATTTAGAAGTTGCTTTTAGAAATAGAAAAAAGTGAGTAAGAAGTGAGTAAAAAGGAAGTTTATAAAAAGCACAAATTTGAAGCTTTTCAAAATTTACTGTTTAAGATCTTTTTAAGGTTAAAAAGAAATTAAAAAATGTAAGTTTTTAAGAGGGAAATTTAAACTTATAAAACATGAATAGTGTCAAAAAGCTGAAGCTCTTACAAGCTTCACCAAACATGCCCTAAACATAAGAATCAATCCTTAGCTTTCTGTGCCATGTATGATCAGACAAAGAGATATATCTGGAAAAAACATAAAAATTCCTAATATAGAACAGAAATGATTATACAGCAGAGCAAGGACAGCTATGTATTTATTTACAGCATATTCCAATTTGCAATAAATTATGTTTTAAGATCCAAAACATCAACAATATTATTAAAGCACAACACATGGTTCATCATGAGGACTGAATGAAGATTTAAACAGACTACTTTAACTTGCAGCAAGAGGAAGAAAAAAAACACAACTTAAATTTACATATTTCTATGTTGTAATTTAATTTGATATCATCTATCATATCAAACAAGATTGGTAGAAGGGGCAGGGAAGGAGGATAATACCAGAAATTACCAACCAATTTCTGACCTTGCAAGGGCGGTATTATTTCAAGAACTCCATCAAGAAAGGTATTATTAATTTAAACTTCTTAAGTTCACCAATTACTAGATAAACAGTTTAAGGACCAGTTTGGATTAGTTTTTCAAATGCCAAAAGCCAATATCCACCAGCTGATGGTTGTTTTTTATAATCCAAACACTCTTATTCGTCCGAATAGAGACCATCAACTGATAACTATTGCCTAACAACTAAAACAAGTGGCTCATTCAATCTTCGTGATATAAATATCATTCAGAGAAAGATTCACAATTTCAATGAGCTAGTGATGAAAAAACAACAGTTAAGGTGAATAGAAATTCCACTTTGCTCTCCCTTCTTCTATAGACTCCTAATAATCCCCACTCTTACAGAGCAGCTATTATATTATGCATTAATTAGAGCCTAGGGCATACAGTGCTCATACTTAAACAATTTCAAAATAAATTCTTTAGATGATAAATAGAATTCACAACAATTTCTGGAATAACCCAACTCACCACATGCTGCCTCGATACTTGAGCGTATAAGGGCCGCTCTCGAGAGCTCGATCGAAATGGCTATGCACTTTATGTTTGCCCTTGCCGCTTTGATCCAATAGCGTGAGCTCGAAAAGGGCCCTCACGTCGGTGCCCTCGCTGGCTAGGGCGACGAATACGGAGACATAGGCGGAATTGTCCTCTGGATTTTTCCCATCGGGATAGAAATAGATGGCCCACTGGTAACCGCCGACGGTGAAGGTCTCGCTAGCTATGTGCTTCCCGATGCCCATGCCTTTGGCCAGGGAGTAGCCCTTGATGGTGAATCTGTGGGACCCGTTGACGGTCTGGGTCACCGACCGGGAGCTCGTGGGCGACCCGAGTGGGGAGGGCATTGGGAACGGTATTCTGCTGGCTAATTTTTCCGGGAAAATGAGGGAAAGTGATGGAAAATTGTGGATGAGGAAAGTGGAAATTATGTACCTTTGTGAATTTGTATGGAAGGCACCTTCCTTCGACGCCCAAATGCATCGGTTGATAACCTGTTTTCTTTCACTTACTACTTTTTTTTTTTTTAAGGAAAAAGTGAAATCCAAAGCATTTTTACATTAATAAAAATATCATAAGGTAAACTCTTAACTATATAATAAATAAAATTTAAATAAAATTTATATTATATTTTATTTATAAGAATAATATCTATCTACCTTACCTCTTAAATATTAGGAAAAAAATCATTTTAAAATTACATCGTTTCAATAAATTTTCATTGAAAAAAACTAAAATACCTTATTTTTAAAGTATGAATTAAAGTATTTTTTGTAATATTCTATTAAAACTAAATAGTTTTGAGATAATTTTGTCCTTAATTTTTAAAATGTAAGGTGGATAAACACTAATTTATTTATTTATTACATGATTTTTAATAAAAAATATTAAAATGCATTGATCTTTTGTATCCTCTTTTGATACCAAAAATGTGAACATCAGCATTTTGTGGGGACATATGCTTCTACACATTAAAAATGTTATATAATTTTTTAAGTTTTATTCTATCATTTTATATGTTATATAATAGAAACATACATATACCACATTTTTATTTATAAATTAGGCACTATTATACTTTGATGTGCAATAGCAGTGCCTTAAATAATTTTAATTTTTTATTATTAATTTTATCACTAATAATAGGATGTTTTTTTAAAAATATTTCTCTATCAATATATAATTTTTACATTAAAAGACATTATGTGAATATTAAAATTTGAGATATAAATTTTTATATGAGAAATACCCATGTCTATATTAAAAATGTTGTCACACATCTCTTCTACTTATTAAAAATGAATTGTTTTTTATTAAGGAGACTTGATCTTAAAAATTTCTTTCTTTTTTTAATTCACAATTCTCACATAAGAACTTATGTTTGACTTCCCAAATATTTGAATTATTTTCCCTCAATATTCTTAAAATAATTATAAGATATTGAAATTTAAAAGTAAAATCTCATATCACAAATATCATAAATACATATATGTATTAGTATTTTCCACAAAATTTGTTTTTGTATCTTTTCCCTTTTCATTGATAAAACTTTAACCAATTAAACAAATGTTTGGAGATATATGAATTGCTTAGATATAATAAAAACATGTGACAAATATTCATTCATATTGCATCTATAATTATAACTCTCAAATTCTTGACCAACTTATTTTATAAATCTTTTAATTTTTACATATTTTATATATTTTTATTTTCACAACCATATTCATAACAATGATTATAACACGATATCACATTCTCTTTAAAAAATAAAATTAAATCGATGGTTGTGATGGGTAATTTTTTCATAAGAAATTCATAATTTTGTTGATAATAAAAGGACATGTATTTGTCCTTTAAAGATTACTACTTTTGGAGTATTTTTGAGGGATGAAAATAAGAATATATATTTTTCTAATATATTTTCATCAATTATCATTTTTTTGCATGAAATAATTCATAATATTTACAATTCATAATCAAGTAATAAATGAATCCATCTATAACTAACTTTTAAAAAAAATTATAATTTTGATGATTTTCTTTCTTCTAACTAATCCATAATTCCAATGGATCATTCATTATCGAATATTTATCTCTTAGTCCTTTTTGGATTTCATTATGAAAAAATATTACTTTATCACAATCTTTCAAAGATGTCTTCTCTTTTTCTTCAAGAATATTTTACTTCTTTAAGGGATGATTTATTCCCCTTTGCAATTTAATCTTTAGGCATTGTAACTAAATGAATCTTTACATTAAAAATTCATGACAAATAGTTGGAATCTAATTTATCAAAGGTAATGAACTCAAATCTTTGTATAAAATTAAATATAAACAAAAAAAATTATCATAACACTATAAAATATCTAAATTAGAAATTAGAAATTGAAGGACAAAATTTTGCCTAAAAATCTTATCTTAAAACTTTACTTTTACTTAAATCTTTACCTCAATTGGTTCATCAACTCAAATGAGATTCATAAAGAGTAATTCTTATAAAGATAATTCATGCTAATAACATATTATAAAATAAAAGGAAAAGTAACAAGATAACAAAGCTTTTGTAGCAAGAATTTCTTATTTAATCATATACAAATTATACAAACTTGCAAGTCTATATATAAGTTACGAAAAATGTGGTGACTACATTGATCATTGACCATAACTAAATGGAGATATGAATAACACCTTATTAGAGCCATGAATGGCAGTGAAGTGAAGCTTTGAATATCCTTTTATGAAGCCATAACTGGTATCTAAGTGGAAATAAGTTACAACACAAAAGAAAGAAGATGAAGAACAAGGTGGAGGTGAAACATCTACTAATAAGAAAATTTAGTACAAAAAGTTAAAGATTCAATTAAGTAATTGTACTTTTTAACATATATTTACTAATATTAAATTTTACATAGTTAATAACTTAATTAAATATATTCAATTAATCTAAAAAATAAAATTCATGATTTACATAAATAAAAAATTTTAAGATTTTAAAAATATTCATTAGGGTGGCCATTATAAAACAAAAAATTGTCTTTCAAAATGACTTGTATATTAAAAATACAATTTGCTTTATAATATTACTTAAATATTTTTAATAAAATTATTCTTTATATTAATTTATTAAAAATATTTAAATAAATTTATACAATAGACGATATTTTTAATTTATAATCTACTGTAAATCTTGACTACCATTATAAAATTAGAACTCTAATTTTACATAAATTAAAACTGCGTCTGCATTCGCTTATTTAAATGTTCCTAACCAAAAACAAAAACACTCCTCCGTTTAATCTGAAAATCGTCCTTCCGCGTCTTCCATTGTATCTATAAGAACGGAGGCTGCCGAACTCGATTCAGTTTTTTCTCTTTGAAAACACAAACCTGCAGCCGCCTTTGCTCGTAATCGAGAAAGGATGAGACGATGGAGGAGAACTTTTCTTTCTTCTTCGGCAGCTTCCCCTGATTTGCGGTCGGCATCGGCTGCTGCTGCCGCCGCTCGCCTTCCAGAAATAGGTAATACCAAATCTCCTTTCTTCTCTTTTCTTTCTTCCTTCACTACTCTTTTTAGCGGTAGCCCCACTCAGTTTAAGGAATTGATAGGCAAAGAGAGATACGAATTTGATAGAATTGATGATGCCTTGGAATTGTTTGATTGGATGGTCCATTCGGATCCACGCCCTTCTGTGGTGGAGTTTAATAGACTTGTAGGCGGAGTTGTTAAGATGAAAGATTATGAATTTGCTGCTTATTTATGCAAACAGATGGAATTGGAGGGAATTAGACATGATGTTGCTACTCTTAGCATCCGCATTAATTGCTTCTGCCGTTTAGGTTTTGTGAATTTTGGTTTCTCTATTCTTGGGAAAATGTTAAAGATTGGTATTGAACCTGATGCTGTAACGTTTAACACACTGATCAACGGGCTCTGTGTGCAAGAGAAATTTGATGAATCAGTGAGAGTTTTTAATGACATGGTTCGGGATGGACATCAACCCAGTTTAATTACTTACAATACAATAGTACATGGTCTATGTAAAATAGGAAAAACCACTGAGGCTGTTAGGTTGCTGAGGAAGATGGAAGAAAGTGGATTAAAACCAAACACTGTAACTTACACTACTCTTATAATGGGCATGTGCCAGGTAGGGAAGATTTGGATAGCACAAGAGCTTCTCAAGGAAATGATTGCTTGTGGTCAAGTTCCAAACTCAATGACTTATTCAGTTTTGTTGGATGGATTGTGCAAACACGGTCACATTCATGATGCATACGAGCTGTTTCAAGCAATGGAGACAAGTGGATTTCAACTTAATATTGTCCATTATTCTATTCTAATTGATGGCATGAGTGAAGTTGGTCAAATTACAGTTGCAAAGCAACTGTTTTGTAAGCTTGGTATGAAAGGATTACGTCCTAATGTTTACACATATACTATAATGATTAAAGGACTTTGCAAGGCAGGACTACCAAATGAAGCTTATCAGTTGTTCAGGACAATGGAAGGGGATGACTGCTTGCCAAATGGTTGCACTTATAATACAATGATTCAAGGATTTCTTCAAAATAATGATACATTAAGGGCAAGTCAAATTATTGATGAAATGGTTGATCATGGATTTTGTGCAGATGCATCTACAGCAACCATGGCAGTGAATCTATTATTTAGTGATGGAGAAAAACAATTATCTAGTGGGAAAAGTTGATACAAGTGAAAATGTAACTGAAGCAGATGTAAATTAACTTCTTTTTTGTCATGGTTTCTGCATCAAAGTCTTAGGAACTTTCTGAACCATTGGGAGGGACACTAACTGTAAGTTTCTGTATTTATTTTATTTTGACCTTGCAAGGCTTATCTCACTTGCATGGAATGAAATTGAGAAATTGTAATTGCAGGAAATGTTCAGTCCATTGCAAATTTCCTTGGGGCTTGATATATTGTTTTTTGGTTCTTTTTCTTGTAATGGAGTTCCATTTCTTGTGGTTCTATGTGATCTGAACTTTGTCTGTTCTGTTAATTTGAATCTGCAGTTTTGCTACTTTCTTGGACTGCCTTCTAGTTTCTGAAACAATTTAGAAATGCCTACTTTTCTGTTTCTAAATATTGTTTAGGGTGGACTTTTTATTATTATTAAATTGGAGCCTTCAGGAGTTTCTTTCAGGTTATGGAAGTCATGACTGTTTGAAGTGGATGTTTTTGCCTTTTTGATGTCATAGTGTGAAAAATTCTTGGAGTCTTTTTATTATAAAATTGTAGGGGAAGTCTGAGCTTACAAGAGTATGTCATCCGATTGAATGTTTCAATAGCTGGATTTTTTTATAAGTAAATCCTTTATGGCACATTTTATGAATTGCAGGAAATGCTCCATCCAGTTCAATTTTCCTTGAGGCTTGATATTTTGTTTTTCAGTTCTTATATATAGGTTGATTTTTGAAAATAAATTTATGAACTTCCATGTTTACCAACAAGCATCCTACATAATCTCACATTATTCAACTTCTTGAAAATCTCTACTCTAGCAACACTTCCATAAAAGCTTCAACTAAGGCAAACAGGTTGTTAAAAACATTGCCTTCAGTTTGGTGCTAAACTGTTCCGTGTTGGTATACCCAAACTTTAAAATCTTATTTTTTGGGTTAAGGTCAGGGGTTGAAAGAAGGCTTTGCTGATAAAAAAACACTGTCAAATATTGCTAATGACTCTGTCTTGTATATTTTCTGTCTTGTTTTCCCCAAAAATGTCATGTGCATTTCTCGTTGTAGATGTTTTTATGAAATTAATTTAAGATTGGTAATTGTTGTGTTACAGGAGATCAGACTGTCAAGTTTAACCAAGTTCTTGAAGTTATGAGACAACTTGAGGGAGCATATGCCCTCATTTTCAAAAGCCGACATTATCCAAATGAGTTGATTACATGCAGACGTGGAAGTCCATTGCCCTTAGGTGTCAAAGTAAGTAACATTACATATTCTTAGGTGTGTGTGAAAGTAGTATTACAAATATATGGATTATAAGTTCAAATTGGCCTTTATTACTCAGTACTCATAACACTCATTCAGTCTTCTTCCTTCTTTTCATAGGGGAGTAATGTGACATTGTGACATAAGCTACTTAGTTGTGTAATATGGTGTTTGTTAATCTATGGAATTTTTACTAAGTTGATTAATTTGAGAAGAAGAGACTAAGTTGAATGGGTTGTTTGATGTTGCGTATTCTCTTCTTGTCAATACATACATTTGAAGCAACAGATATTTTCAAGCAGTTAAACTTTGAGTTAGTTTTGCTTGAACCATTGACTGAGTTTACGGTAACTCTCTTTAAGAGTCAGTAAAATATTTGTAATGTGAACTAAAATTTCCCTTTGCTTAAGATCTCAAAATAGTTGTACTGCATAGTTGTTGGAATGCTTTTTCAGCATTTCAAAAGCCACTTTAACTATGGCTATTACCATCAAAGTAAAAGACTTGCTAATTAGAAGCACCTTAAAATATTTTATAACTTTTCCATTTTGTTTGCACCATGCATAAATGGAATTTGGGGGTGTTTGGTATAGCAGTTAGCAGTTTCATCTAATCTAATGAACAAGAGTGCTTGAATTATTAATAATAACAATTATCAATTGTCAAATCAGACGAAATCACTAACCGTTAGTTTCAAATTGTTATACCAATCAACTCTTTTATTTTCTTTTAGATTCTTAGTGTACTTTCAGGTGCTTTCTATATCATTAATTTTGTTTTATAAGAAATGGTTGTTGAGTTTAGTTACTGAATTTGAACAATCTAATACCTCCATTTTTCTCCCACTTTTTTTTCTTTACTTCACCCATGTGATTGTGGCTTAAACTAATGGTAATTTTGGTGCCACCAGAGGTAGCTGAGATGGATTTGAACTTGGTGGAGTCATTTTTTGTCCATGCTGAATAGCACATACCTGATGGGCTACTCATGGGTAACTGGTTTCTAGGAAGCCATCCTCAAACATCTGGTCCTGACAATGAGTTCTTGGTGGTTTACAATGAAGTTATTACTAATTATGAGGTTTGGTTGAAGTTTCAGTTGCTTTGTTGCTTATTTTATTTGCTGACTTGTTGATAGTGCATGCTACACAAGATGCAGACAATATAGATATCAAGGAAAGCCAAAACTAAACATGTGTAACACTTAAAAGTGCTATCTTTTTTTGATGTTTGGTTGATTTTATTTAGAATAAATGTACTGTCATGTCTCATTAGTTTCTACTTTCTTCTATGCTTCGCTTACATTTGGTTTTATTTTAGGAGTCTAGGGTTTACTAATTTTCTTTAGCTTTGAAAAGAATAAATGTGTTTAAGAATAGACTTAGAAATCGGTGTGAGATCAATTATGGTAGAACAAGGACAGAACCATGTAATAAAGAAGGTTGTCAATTTTTGTTCAATTTCTGACACTTGATGAAACATTGTTTCAACTTTTTAGTTTTTCCATTTTCATTTTAGGTTTTGTTTTGACATTTTTGGCTATTATACCTGTAAGAACCATTTTAAGTTTTACCATGGTTTTATTTGTCTAATTATCTTATGGTTTACATTCAAATTAACTTGGATGATCCAATTTCATAGTTAACTAATTTATGTTTTCTATTATTTACATCTTTACGTTTTAAAAGAAACACTTGTTCACCATGGGTTCACTTTTGAATCTGACACAGACACAGAAGTAACAGCCAAGTTGGCCAAATTTGTTTATGATAAGGCTAATGAAGAAGGTTATTTTATTGTGTATTCTTATGCATTTTAGCTGCATGCTTGTCTGCCTGGTCCAAACTCTTAACTTTATCATTGATGATTACTCTTGTTGCTACTTGCTAGCAACCACATTTGATCCTTTTCCATGCTTATTTCAGTTTCCATATGTTCCATCTGAATGAGAACCTATCATTTACTGAGGGGTAGATTCTCTTGTGCTTAATTTTATATCTATTTACTTGCTAGTCCAATATCAGCAGCATATATGTTCATTATCATCCTAAAGTTTAGTCAGATCCTGTTATCAGTTTAATTATCCTTTGTTTGCTACTGATATAATATAATTGCTAACAGCACGCAGCAGTCAGTTATTCAACAACTTCATGCCTGCATAGGTCGCTTGATAATAATGTGTTCAAAAGGAGATGCTGCTTCCATCTGTCCTGGAGAAATCCGGTAGAGGAAATGAAGGTCCTCAGGTTGAGGATTGTCTTCAACCTGCAGTTACTATAATTCCATTGCAGGTACTTTTTCTTGTGCTAAGGACACTCTTTCTAACACTCTCCTTTGGACACTTTTTATGTGATTGAGACACATGTGACATAAATTTGATGTAATTGATCATAATTTCAAATTGCAAAAACACTAACTTCAATGTCAATCACTAATCACCAATCACATGAGTGTCCCTAGCACTTCTCTTTCTTACAAATATCTCCACCTATAAATGCATATGGCAAAGTTGGCATTTCAAGAAACATGTTTACATCGCAAAATTGTGTTTGTATTTGATCCATTATTATGTTTATTATTACTGGCTGGAGGACAAATTCATGCATAATGCTCATTTTCATACTATCGAAATTGAATCTCATGAATAACTATCTATTCCAATAATAAATGTTATTTGCTTTGCTTTGTGGGTGCAGTTGCTGGCATATCATCTCACCGTTCCTAGGGGATTACAATGTTGATCAGCCTCGAAATCTTGCAAAGAGTGTAACAATAGAGTAATGAGTTACTGACAAATCTCATTCTGCTAATTTTGTTTCTGCTCAGCCAATTTCCTTCCAATGAAGCACGCCTATCATCCACTGAGATAGTTTCACTCACTCACCTCCATTTTTTCTTCATTTGTCACAGTACAGAGTGTCCAGTATGCATTGTAAATTGTTAGAATAGAAATCCAATCGAACTCTTGACTTCTCATTGTTAACTTTTGAATCTATTCTGAGATTAATTAATTGTCTGAAGGGTCCATTTTCCTCGCTGGAAAAATGCGATAACAGCAGTTTCTGACAAGTAAACTCTCTTCCTGGACTAAGGCCATATGTTAGTGCTTTTAATTGAGGTCATAAGCGAACCCCTAACTGAAAAATTTTGGACTTGATTGACAGAGATTATAAAGATTGGGAAAGTAGGCAAAAACACGAAAAACTGTGTAGCATTTGACTTAAACATGGGGGTTTATGCTTTTAATCACTTAAATATCCTAGAAAATCTTGATGGAACTTGATTAGGAAATTGGGGAAGAAATTGAAGCTATGGAAGGAAAGTAACAAAAAAGAGGCGAGAGAAGCAAAGAATTAGAGGAAGAAGTTCAGAGACAGGATAGTTTTAATAATCATAATAACTATTAGAAGTACACTGTTTAAATTATTCAAAAATTTTCTGTGTAATATAGTGCATATTAGATTACAAAACAACAAACTATAAATTATATATGCTTAATAGGAAAGTGATGTATATTCATTACTTTCTATACATTTTAAAATTATTGATGATGAAAGATCCCAAAATATGGGATGATTTTTCCTCTATCGATGGTTATAATTTTACAATTTAATACAATCCGATATAGACAATGCTACAAAACTGTTTTCTCTAGGCCTAAACAACAAATTACCTCTTTGGGTTTTTTTTTTTTTGGGCGTAAGAAAATTGCCTTTTAATGCAGAAAAAATACATGTATTTTACATGTAGGCACTAACATTGATATTCCTCTTTTTAACCTTAGAGGAAGAAAAAAAAAAAAAAACACCTCTGCTATTTTTAACATTTTATGCGAAACAAAAAAAAAAAGAAAAAGAAAAAGAATGGACTACATTGCAAACATTTAAAAATGCAGGAGTTAATTGGAACAAAAAAAAAAGAACGGATTTCGATATATTTTAATTTCTTCTTCAACTCTCATCTTTGTTCTGCTATGGTTTCCCCATCAAATATCAATCCACAAACAAGCAGCCGCCTTTACTCGAAATTGAGAAATGATGAGAAGGTGGAGGAGGAATTTTCTTTCTTCTTTGGCAGCTTCACCCGATTTACCGTCGGCATCGGCTCCTGCTGCCACTCTCTTTCCAGAAATGGGACGATCTTTTTGCCAAAGATTAGGGATGGGACGAAAAGAAATTGATAAAATTTTGACGATAAAGGAATATAATCACTCAAAATTTTTATACAATGATAAAAATAACCAATATTTAAAAGTACATGCATATTTTGATCACTTATATCTCTAACTAAATACAACGACATATATCAATAATATGTTGGTTCGAGTGAAAAGAGCTCGATTTCCCTTAAACAAGATCTCGAATTCGAATTTTATGAATAGAAAAATAGATACTGAAAGAGCTTCCTCTTATATGGGGTTCAACTTGACTTGATTCTGAATTAATCAAAATCCAATGTAATTTCTGAATATCGAAAGGTTAATAAAATATATATATACATATAGGGACCTATAAAACTATCTAAATCACGCTTGAGAAATGGGAGAATGGAATGGAAGGAAGCAATGGAATTATCAATTTGTCAATTAAATGAGAATTATGCTTCTCGTTGCATCTATTGAAGGAAATGATTGAGGTTCTGTTGTTGGTAAATGATAAAGTCACATAATTACTAAACAATTTGTAAAACCATCACTAAAGGGTCACATACTAGTTCTCGGACATATTTAGCAAAGGTATTGCGATCAATACGTAAATCCTAATTATCAACTTTTCTTTTCCCACTTTATTTAGCGACAAAACCACATGGGAGGAAACGACTCATTCTTACGGCGTGGTAATATTCTTTGGTCAATCCTAATCATTCTCTCCGCCTATTTTTTTTGTAAGAAAAACTAAGATTATCTATTTTTTGAATAAGTTATTTTTATCCATTTCCAAAACCATGCTGGCAATCAAGTATAAATATCAGTTCCATCCCTCATTTCCTTCAGGAATCACAATGGCAAAAGACTTCGATGTTATGTACCTTGCTTATTTCATTTCCTTCATAGCAACCTCTGTTGCAATAACAGCTCCTCTACAATTGGATCCGAACGATGTGCCTTCAAAATATAACTATGTTTGTGAACCTTCAAGGTTTTTAATGCAAGGCCTTGACATGTCAAAACTTAGATACTGCAACTCATCCCTTTCGTATGAGGTTAGGGCGGCAGATTTGGTGGCTCGAATGACATTGGGTGAAAAAGTACAGCAATTGAATGATCAAGCAACTGGCGTTCCTAGGATTGGCTTACCACAATATAAATGGTGGTCTGAGGCATTACACGGCGTCTCTAATGTCGGACATGGGACCAGGTTTGATGATCTTGTTCCTGGGGCAACAAGTTTTCCCACCGTGATTCTCTTAGCTGCATCTTTCAATCAATCACTCTGGAAAAATATTGGCGAGGTAAAATTGATAACAAAATTTAGAAGATTGTGTGTTCTTAGAACGCATGCAAATTTTACATTCATTAAGGTCATTAATCAATTATTTCTTATCTCTTCACTCTCTAACTATTGAAACGATGCAAACGCATAGAATGAAATTTTTACTACTAACGCATAGGTTGTTTCAACGGAAGCAAGAGCAATGTACAATTTAGGACGCTCGGGACTTACATTTTGGAGTCCAAACATTAATGTGGTAAGGGATCCTAGATGGGGAAGGATTACCGAGACACCCGGTGAAGATCCTTTTGTAGTCGGTACATATGCTGTTAACTATGTAAGAGGCCTACAAGATGTTAAAGGAGTGAAAAATCCCAAAGATCCGAATTCTAGGCCGCTCAAGATTTCTGCATGTTGCAAGCATTATGCTGCTTACGATGTCGATAACTGGCGTGGTATTGATCGATACCATTTCGATGCCAAGGTAACTTTCCCATCACATTTGAGTTTCCATACCATGCTATTTATAAATATGGCAAATATTAACCATGCCTTTGTTGATTAAGGTGACTGAACAAGATATGTTGGAGACGTTTCTTCGTCCCTTTGAAATGTGTGTTCAAGATGGTGATGTTAGTAGTGTGATGTGCTCTTATAACCGTGTGGATGGCATTCCTACCTGTGCTGATCCAAATCTTCTTAAAGGGATAGTTAGAAGGGATTGGCGTTTTCATGGGTATTTTCACCCAAACATATTATTTTTTGTGTTATTAAAAAGTGTTAAATTTTGTCATATTTAGCTCATTTGTCAATTGAATCTTTTGCAGCTACATAGTGGCAGATTGTGACTCCATTGAGGTGATGGTGAATGATCATAAATGGCTAAATGACACTGCAGAAGATGCCGTGGCACAAGTGCTCAAAGCAGGTTAAAGGATATCTTTTAGTTGTTATGAATGTCCCAAGGAATCCTTGTATGCTTGTTGACGTTTGTTTTTCAATGTTATCATCTAGGATTGGACTTAGACTGTGGAGATTATTACGGTAAATACCTTCAAAATGCCGTGATGCAAGGCAAAGTATTGGAGGGAGACATTGATAGGTCGTTGAAGTATCTCTACGTGGTTCTCATGAGGCTTGGCTTTTTTGATGGAAATCCATCATTTGCATCACTAGGCAAGAACGACGTTTGCTCCCCACAACATATCGAACTAGCAACTGAGGCAGCTAGAGAAGGAATTGTGCTTCTTAAGAATGAGAATGGGACTTTGCCATTAAACCCTACCCACTTTAAGTCCCTTGCTTTAATTGGGCCACACGCCAATGCTACCTTTGCAATGATTGGAAACTATGCAGGTTGTAACAAGATGTTGATTGTAAAAGTTTAGAAGTTATATTTGTTTATTTCTTCTATTCATGATACACATCCACTAAATATCGCTCTCTTCAATTGATGAAGGTATCCCATGCCAGTATGTGTCTCCACTTGATGGCTTTTCATTAGTTAGCGAAGTCAAATATGAAAGGGGATGCGACAACGTCGCATGCAAGAGTGGGTCATTTATCACCCCAGCCATGGAAGCTGCAAAAAACACAGATGCTACCATACTTTTTGTGGGGTTGGACTTATCGGTCGAGGCTGAGAGCTTAGACAGAGTGGACCTCCTTCTTCCCGGTTACCAAACTGAATTGGTCAACAATGTCACAGAAGTTTCAAAGGGTCCAGTGATTCTCGTGATCATGTCAGCAGGGGGAATTGATATCTCTTTTGCCAAAAACAACCCTAAAATAAAAGCTATCCTTTGGGCAGGATACCCTGGTGAGCAAGGTGGCCATGCCATAGCAGATATTGTTTTTGGAAAGCATAATCCTGGTGAGTATCACATTTTACCACATGGACAATATGCATCAGGCAATACAAAATAGTTTCGTTTTTTTTTTTAAATTTTAGAATCCTTAATATTGCTAAGATGTGCATCGAAAATATAATGGAGCAATATGGCTCCCAGTTTGCAAATCTAATACTTTTTTTTTTTTTGTCAATTTAAAATACCTCTAACAAGTGCACATTAATGTTTTTAACATTTTAAATTATGTGTTTGAAACCAGGAGGAAGATTACCCATCACATGGTATGAGGCTGATTATGTTAATAAGGTACCAATGACATCTATGCCACTAAGACCAGTTGATAGCCTAGGCTATCCTGGGAGGACATACAAGTTCTTCAACGGCTCGACAGTCTACCCCTTCGGCTATGGCTTGAGCTATACGAAGTTCAATTATGATATAACATCCAAAGAAATGTCCCTCAATATTACATTGAGCAAGTACCAACAATGCCGCAACTTGAATTACACGAATGAAGCATACGTGAAGCCTTGTCCAGCAGTTATACTTGATGATTTAACATGCAAGGATAAATTTTCTCTTATGGTTGAAGTGCAAAATACTGGGGACATGGAAGGAAGTGATGTTATTATTGTGTACTCCAAGCCTCCAGAGGGAATCATTGGGACGCATTTCAAGCAAGTGATTGGATTTCAGAGGGTTTATGTTCCGACGAGGAAGAGGCACATGGTTAGTTTCACATTCAATGCCTGCAAGAGCTTAAGAATTGTCGACAACGCTGGATATAGTCTGTTACCATCCGGTCGACATACAATTATGGTGGGAGACGCTGCAGCATCAATTTCTATTGATGTTGCCTTTTCCTGGCAACTTTAGGGGCTTAAGTTGGACTTTAGTCCAAAACTTTTGCTTGATTTGAGGTGATTCTAGATTGAAAGCAAGTGAAAATGTGATTCCTTGCAAATTAAATAAAATATTTCACCAAAAATGCATTCTTTTATTACTTCTCTTTTAGGATTCCTAATAAAAAGCGTTTTAAGAATTTACATGCTTTAATTTTTTATTTGAAATTAAAGATATCAGTTACAATTTTGATTCTTCTTTCTACATATATGATTGTCAAAATTGTTAAAAAAATGTTTGCACTTACTAAACTTTTAAATGCGATTGCTTAATAGGATTTCCGGTAAAATTGAATGCTACACTTAGACAGTTCATTCTTGTTCACAAATTTAAACATTAAGTTAAACATTTATCTTCTCAACATTTCAAAAGATTTATTTATATTATTTAGGAACTCCTATAGAAAGAATTTCTTTTATTTTCTTGATTGAACTGTAATGATAGGATTAATGCAACTCAGATTGGAACACGAGACTAGCAAATTTGGTTATCAAACGAAAAATTTCTACAACCCAAGAATGATAAGAATTCTCTTGTCCTAAAATTCGAAGCCTCAAATAGGAAACTCGAAGAAAGGCTAAAAGGATTCAAAAGAAGAGAAAGAAGGTCAAATTAATTGAATTAATTGAAAGATCTTGGGAAGAAGTCCATTGTCCATTGCACCAAGTGAATAGGCAAAGAGCAAATATGGATTTTTTTTCATAATAATTTCCTTGTCAAAACCCAAATATGCCCTCCAAGTATGGGAGCAGGGATAGGTTCACCCGCAAATTAAATACAATAACAAATTACCCCATTAACTAATTGGGTTAGACAAATTATAAAAAATTTAACTGTTGTCATCATCTAAGATTAGCCTTTAATGTAGTCTATGCGTAAGTTACTACATGTAGGGATTACCGCTAGGTACAATCCAATGTTAATTTTATATATGAATTTTTTTATTTTATATTTTAATATCACAGTTTAAATACACAACTTAAGTGTATTAAAAATACACTTAATAATTAATTGTTATAAAAGTTAACTATAATTTTGTCAACCCCACAATTAAGATCATATATGTGTCAATGGTACTGAAAATGAAATTAATTTTTATATTTTTGATACACATTAAAAAATAAAATGTACAATTAATATATTTTTAAATATATAACTAAGATAAACTCCTTACTTATCTTCGAAAAGGGGGCTTAAACTATCTGATTGAAAACTGGAAACCAGAACCTTGTTAGGAAATCAGCATTCATCACACATCTCCAAAGAGGGGGACTTAACCAGTGGCGAAGGCACGAAGAGACCAAGGGGGGTTACGGTCCCCCCTGGTCTTTCGAAAACTTTTCAAAATAGTACTCAAATTTTGTATTTTAAAGATTTCAACCTTAGTTATTCTTAACATTTATGAAAATAATTATCATTACTATTTTTATAAATCTTGTCATTAAATTCAAAATAGAATGTTGATATAATAATTAGTAATTTTTTTAAAATTAATCTATTAAATATAAAGACTGCCTTTTGATTTTTAATATTTTTAGCCCAAAAAATTTGTTGAAAAAACTTTAAACTGCTAACATTTCTTACCCTTTGCCTTCCTCCTATTATGTTCTTGGAAAAACCTTAGATCATTACCTTTATAGTGCTTAAAATTAATCTAAAATATTTATTTTAGTCACCAATATCTATTTTTTTCTATGTCAAATATTAAAACTTCACTTTTAACTCAATTTTTTTGTTGAGTCAAATATATTTATTTTACTTTGTCATTTTTTCGCCATTATTCTACTGTATTATTTAATATATCAATTTTTGATCGTTTCTAAATTCATTACATATATTTTAGATGTGTTTTTTTATTCTATATCTCCCCCCTCCCCACAAATATAACTAGATAATGATTCATTAATTATCAGAAACTTTCAAATTTTGATTTAGACTCAAGTTTATAATTTTTACAACCATTTATCACTCTTTATTGTACTTTATAGTTTTCCTACTCCATTAACTTTATGTTAAATAACTTGACAATTTAATATAACAAATTAATAACAACTGAATTTTTTTTTAATCTAGGCAAATATATTCAACAAGACTATGTTTAGGAAGAAACAGAATTTTCAATTGTCATTTATTTGTTAAATAAAATTAATAAGTCAAAGTTTAAGTAAAAGTCAAATTTTAAGTAAAAATCAAATTAACACAATAAAAACAAATAAAAAAATTTAATACTTTGCACAAATTAATTTAAGTGTCTATAAATTCGGCCACCCCTCATCCCACATCCTGACTCCGCCAGTGGGCTTAACGTATCTAATTTGCGTCTCAGGCCAATAAGAACCTATCAGCTTCAGAAGCCTGGAGTGTTTACTTTCAATTTGGATAGGATCCACCGGAGAACCAAATGGTTTGCACGCCCCTAATTTTCCTTCTATGATACAAGAAAACAACAAAATAATATAATTACAATATCATATAATATTATTAATTTATAATCATAATGTATCATTATATGATTCACTCTTTTCACTAAGAGGTATACATTCATTCATTTACAGAATATTGGGTTAAGAAGAATGAAGAGGTGGGAAGGGGGAGGGAAGCGGGAAATTTTTTGGCTACTTGTTTATAAAAAAAAGTTGGAAAGGAGTGCAAGAGAAAATTTTCATTTACTTTGCTTTTTAAATTTATTTACTTATCCAAATAAAAAGAAGGAAGAAAATAAAAGGATATAGTTTATCTTCTCTCCTTTCTCCTTCCCTCGACCCAAACATATAATTAATGATACATCATAATCGTAAGCTTATAATCATACGTGAATTATAGCATTGTTTGAAGAACAAAAGGGTATAATATAACACAGCTGAAACTACAACCAAAGGCTTAAGGATGATGATAATAATAACGATAGAGTTGGAACCTACTTAAACATAACTCTTGTGCACAACACTACCACAAAATTTTGATCACTCATCTCTAATTGAGATTTATCCACTCTTTATCTATTTTTTAAAAATTAATTATTTTTTTATCTAAAAAGTCATAATAGATCTCAACATTCATAGTAAAGATATAATTAGTTAAGATTTTATATAAATAATAAGTATAAAAATTGTGTAAATAGACCTTAACTAATAATAATAATAATTGACCATCCAATTCAGTGAAAGGCATTAAAATTTCCATCATACTCAGAGACATGAAATAGAATCTTGTTCAGAAAATTTTTGCTTAATGCATCTCATTTCTCTCTACGTACAAATAGCGAAAGCCATAACGTGTTTATACATTCTAGTCAAGTTTGTAGACTATTCTGAGCATGTTTCATCGAAAGAGCTCGACATACAACATGATTAGAGATCAAGGAATGACGTATACTTACACGAGATCACGCATCTGAATTGAATAAGATGATTTCATCTAGTCCACCTCAACAAGAAATATAAAATGATGATTGTCAAAACCATGCCCATATATTTGATCCATTTATCGACACGATTCCTCCTCTCAATGAGCCTCAGTACAGAGTTGGAGAGTCCAACCGTGTTAAGGACATCCAAAGCCTTCCGTTGCGCTCTCTGAGCCAAACAAAGTTGTTTACAACAGTTATGTATTGGGATCAATTGTCACAGTACACCATTTACTCGTGAGAGCACAAACAACACTGCAGAAACATTCAACTTACAGAATAAAAGTAGTAAACTTCTTGAACATAGCCAACACAGAGTTACCAGGCTTGCAAAAAATATTATAAATTCCTTAAATTTAAACATAATAAAACCTAATCTAGAAGTACCCCCATGAACCATTTCAAATTTTCACCATAAACAAAGTTACATGTTTTATGCGTGTCTATGTAGAAGAGGTACCTTCAAACGCTCCCTTTGTTCTGCATATTTGGAAAGGATAGCTGTTCCAGTTGCGAAAGATTCTTCCAACATCCTTGATGAGTTTCGGACTGATTGCATTGCTTGTGCTTCCTCATCAAAAATTCTCAAAACATGAGCCGACTCTCCATTCTACATGATAAAATCAATTAACCACCTTATAAATCAAACTCCATTTTCAAAACAGACCATGGCACGTATCCTCCTAAAGAAATCATCAAGAAAGAGCAATATCAACATAAAAGGTTTGAACTTACTGCTCTTCCAAGTAATTCAGCTCTCTCTTTAGCTTCTGTCATTCTTCTCTGATTCCTCATCAAGAATTTGTCAAGACCATCTTTCAGTGAGTCAACCTCTTCTGCCACTTGCTCGACTTTCCTGCATAAAGAACATTATTTGTGTTCACTCAAGATGTAAGACATCAAAACAAAGATTAGAAAATGAAAGTACACAAGCCTAAGAGCTTAGACTTATATATCACACTAAAAAATAATTGAACGTTGAAATTATGTGGAGCCATGCTTAGCTCCTTATTTCTTCAGACAAAAGAGACCCTAAAATGAAATTAGCACATTTTAATTTTCAACAATATATGTATCATTCATAAACAAATGGAGACATGCACATTTTTTACAACAATTGACCCAACAAAAGATGCACTTCAGAAATTTGCCAATAACAATATTAAAGAAGAAATGAGATCCCAATGGGAAGGTGTTTAGACACTCACGCTTAGTAGTTCAGATATTCATTCTTCCCTGGTAAGATATTTTTTATCAGCTATATTAATTTGATTGAAAGCAACTCAAATATCTATATTGCTACTTCTAAACAAGGAAAATGTGAACTACTAAATGAATACTTAGGTTATGCTAAAAACCAAGTAGTTACTGTGCTTCTTTCAATTTTTAAAATTTCTAGGTTGAGAATTTTCTGACAGAAGCATAATGATGTAAACCGTCAAAGTATCAAATGAATGAATCTTACAGTTTTTCCTTTATTTGCCGTGGCTATAACTAATACTCAACTGTGCTGCCCAAGGATTTTATTTGTAGTTTGGAAATATTATAGGTTTTTTCATTAAGTCAACATGGGTTTGTAATTAAATCAAATATGTAGTATCCCAAAGGGTGTAGCTCAACTAGTTAAAATTATGAGATTCCAAGTTTGAGATTCTATAATGGAGATATCTGGTTTGGGCTTTGAGGAGGGTAGGGAGGGATTTTAAAAAAGAGAGAACTATCCCTTTTTGTATAAACCATGGTGTAGCCAAAAAAAAAAAAACTATGTAGTATATATAGATTAAAAAAAAAACGCAGCAATTATATTTCTAGTAGGTTTAGTTTGTACTAACATCTTTTTTGATATTGGGGATGGTGGGAATCTAAGAGCCAAAGCAATCACTTTTGGATGAGAGAAAGTTTGTGCTAAAATCAAATATCTAAATTATTTTGGTAAGGATTTTTAGGGAAGGTGTGTTTTTTAATGAGAATTACATACCTACAGATTACAAATCTCATGAACAAAATTAGGAAATTACCCCAAAAGAAAACTGGACTAAAAAACTCGATATCAACCCCATTGCCCTTCTGTTTCCACCACCAAAATGGGACTGACATCAAGCCGTTCAGCACTAATACTTGTGCGAAACAATCAAGTGTTACAACTTCAACATTAGAGAAAGACACAATGGCAAGAATTAAAATAATACACTTCCAATAAGATTCAAAGATTTCATAGATTTCATACATACTAGTGCAAATACACGAGCAATTATACCTTTTCCAGAGATCGCGCTGTGGCTTGGCGGCGATGGAGCGCCAGAGGCGATCCATTTCAGCGCATAGCGACTGGATCTGAGATATATCTTTCTTGACGTCGAAGGAGAGTTCGGGCGAGTCCAGTCCTACGGCATTGGACGCAGAGTTCTCGAGCCTCTCCAGACGCTCGATTCCATCCCTCGCCCGGAGGAGTAGCTTCTTCGACCTCTGGTAGATTTCTGATAACGTCCCTCCACCTCCTTCAATCGCTGCCATTGTTGTTTTCGCACATGGAGAAGGATTTTTGAATTTGTTAGACGGTAAAGGAATATTTCTATTATTTTCATTTTTTTTTTCATATTTTATGGTATTCGACATCATCAAGCCAATAGTATTGCGCCATGTCATCTGAAGGTACATCTTTTTTTTCTTACGGGTTTAATTTAACCAAAAAAAGAAAAACCTATGAACCTATCTAGTAACGATTTCCATCTCATGAAGGAAATCCAATAGGATTTTCTCCATTCTCGATGATAATAATATTGAGCTTTCCTCACCTCTAGATATTAGTAATTTCATTACTAATTCCTTTCAACAATTGTATACCTCTAAGAAACATTGTTGCCCCATTAATTCCAATCTAGACCCGAATTGGGACCCTTTACATCCTTGTGATTGTCTCACATTCTGTTCAATCCATTTTGAAAGTGAAGTCTTCAAGGCTCTCAACCCCTTTCACCCTTTTAAGACTGTAGGTGGAGATGGCCTGCACGCTATTTTTTTTAGAAATTTTGGTCCTCCACTAAAAACATCATTTTTGATATCGTTTCCTCCTAATTTACCAAGGGCACACTCCCTACAAACCTCAACCAAACAATTATCATTCTCATTCCCAAAATCCAAAATCCAAAATCCAACCACGATCTCCTACTTTCACCCCATTAGCTTATGCAGTACCTTATACAAGCTTTGTTCCAAGCTCTTAGTCATTAGACTTTGATCATTCCTTAATGAACTTATCAGCCCCCTTTAATCCAGCTTCATTCCAAGGTGAATGGGTATGGATAACACAATTATTGCTCAGGAAATTGTTTTGGCCATGCAAAAAAAAGAAAGGGAGAGTGGGAGAAATGGAAATAAAAATTGATCTTAACAAGGCTTTTAAAAGTCTCAAATGGGATTTCATCAAAAATTGTCTTAGCCATTTCAGCTTCACTCCGTTATGGATCAAAATGATCATGTCATGCATTTGTACCACATCTACCTCAATTTCCATCAATGGATAGTTGACAATGAATTTTTCCCATCTCGTGGCATTTGCCTTGGCAACCCTATTTTTCCATACATTTTTATTTTGTGCATGGAATACCTACTTCTTTCTTGCTTAACAAAAATGTCAACTTGGTAGTTGGAAACCGTTAAAGCATCTAGAAATGGGCCTTCCTTCACATGTGTCCTTTTTTGCGGATGATATCTTGTTATTTGGTAAAGCTCATATTTCCATTGCTTTAGCCATTAAGGAAGTCTTAGAATGTTTTTGTTCTTACTTAGGTAAAAAAATTAATGCCCAAAAATCCAAGATCTTTTTCTCCCTGAACTTTTGTTCCAACACTCGTAGCTCAATTTGCCCCATTCTTGGATTGAATAAAACCAATAGTATTGGCAAATACTTAGGCTTCCCTGTTGTTTCTAAAAGACCTTCTAAAATTGACTTTAAATTCATCCTTGACAAGGCTAAACATAAACTTTCAAGTTGGAAAGCCAAATTTCTATCACCTACTAGGCAAATCACATTGATCAACTCAACCCTTTACTCTTTTCCTTTGCATGTAATGTAATGTAATCTCCTTCTAGCCAGTATTTGCAACTCTCTTGATAAACTTGTTCATGACTTCTTATGGTTAATTGAACAAAATAAGCAAAAGCTCCATCTAATCAACTGGGAAAAGCTACTTGTCTACCTATGAGTCATAGTGGATTGGGCATCTGAAAATATAACAAGTTGAACAAAGCTTCTATCATGAAGCTTATATGGTGTTTTCAAACACTTCCTCAAAGCCCTACCAAGCCAAGTATTGCCTTTAAAGATTAGCAAGTCAACCCTTGCATATTTGGAGGGCCATGAATAAAATCTTTCCTTCATTCTTAAAAGGAATCTCATGGAGTGTTAACAAAGGAAACCAAATCAATTTTCTTCATAATGATTGGCTACATTTTGGACCTCTTAACAACCTAATCTATGGTCTTTTCCCTCAAGACCGCCCATCTTTCATGGTTGCTAATGCTTTTACTTTCCATTCCTCCTTTAGTGAACTTCACTACTTCCTCCCCTCTTCAATTGAAACTTCTATTCTTTCCATATTTGAGCTAGTTAACCCACATGAGGAAGATTGGATTACATGGAAACTCACTTCTACTGGTGCTTTCTCCTTCTTTTTTGCGTACAATTCGGCTTGCAATTTTTCTTCTTCTCTCAACGAATCCTCTTGGCAATGGCTATGGAAATGCCCTTCTATACCCAAAATTAAATTCTTCTTATGGTTGCTTGACCATGATAGGATCCCTTCTAGATTGCTCTTGTCTTCTCTAGGAATTCAAATTCCAACTACATGCCCTCGATGTAATTCCTCACCTAGGTCTGCTCTTCACCTTTTGTGAGATTGTCCTACGGTCTTAAGGTGTTGGTAAGCCATTCCTATCCCCTCAAACCTTCTACATAGCTTTTAGTTTGATCTCTTTGATTGGTTAAAGAGTAACTACACCTCCAAACTTTCACTTACACAACCACAAATCCCTCGGCCTATGCTTTTCTGCTCAATTATCTAGAATTTGTAGCTTGATAGGAACAATTTGTGTTTCCAAAACTACTCTAATTTGCAAGGAACTATTCACAAAGACATGAGTTTTGCTATTGAATTCTACTCTTCCAGACCCCACATAAAGAAATCTACTTCCCTTTCTTTTCTACCTGTTAGATGGACTCCCCCACCAGTCATTTGAGAGACCAAATTGGGGATTTAACCTTTGGTTTAAAATTAACATTAACGGTTCCTCTAGCTCCCTGCATAACAAAAGTAGTGTTGGAGGGATCATCAAAGATCATGAGGGCAATTGGGTGGTTAGGTTTGCTAAAAACCTTGGCTATGGAACCAACAATGATGTTGAACTTTGGGGATCAAGACTGGCCTTGAATTAACACTTAATTTGGGCCTTAGGAGGGTTGAAGTTGAAACTAACTCAACCTTTGCATTAACACACTATCTAATGCTTCTATTAAGAATAAAACTCACAAAGCCTTACTTGCTTCATGCA